AGTAAGTGAACAAGTAAGTAGGCAAGTTAGTAAGTGAGTGAGTAAGTTAGTAAGTAAGTAAATAAGTAAGCAAGTAAGTGAGTGAGTGAGTGAGCACGTAAGTAGGTAGATGAGTAAGTAATTGAGTGGGTAAGTAAGTAAGTGTGTATGTGTGTATGTACGTAAGTACGTATGTATGTAATTATTTATGATTACGATTATTATTATTGCTTTTGAAGTACCATTGTCCGTACTACTACTACCACTACTACTACTACTACTACTAATAATAATAATAATAATAATAATAACAAAAAACTTGAATGTAAAATATTTTTATGTGTAAATGAAAAAAAATTCTTAGTTTGTCAAGGTATTATTTATTGAATTTGGAAATGAAAATTGATTTTTTCTACGATGATATTACGTCATAATATAAAATTTAACTAGGTCTGTGTTAGTAAGTTTAACATGTAAGTAACAATGTGGTGTGTGCTACTTATATTGACATAAGTAGTATATGATGTTGGTCGTGAACAGAAGGTTTGGCAGCAGAGAGACAAGTGCATCGAACAGTAAAGAATGCAAACAGGAGTCATTTTTAGACAATTGGTGGATATTTTGCAAATTAAGCATTTTCTTTATGATTGTTAGATTTTATTAACAAGTCCTGTAATTTTGAGTCAAATACATTCGATTGTTCCCACCGGTGTTCTTGTTCACTACAACATGAGCATATGATTAAAGATACACTAATGGTTATCTAAGTCTTAATATAATTTTTATTAGAGGGAATGTTAATTTAACATGGTTTATTGATTGTTTTCTGGTTAGCTTTTTTAGCTAGTTAGTTTTCTACAGGATGGGCTCGTTACCCTCATGCTCAATCCTCCTCTCTTACCAGGGCTTGGGACCGGCAGTAGCTCTGGAGGAGCTACAGGCGGAGGTACAACTATTTATAAATAGTTGTCTACGCAAGATACTCAACATCTATTGGCCGGATACTATCAACAACAGGCTTCTGTGAGAGAGAACAAACCAGCTTCCAACTGAAGAGAAAATTAGGAAAAGACGATGGAAATGGATAGGACATACACTACGCAAATCATTAAACTGCATCACGAGGTAAGTCCCAACATGGAATCCTGAAGAGAAGCGGAAAAGAGGGAGGCCAATGAACACATTACGTCGGGAAATAGAAGCAGATATGAAAAGGATCAATAGGAACTGGAAAGGATTGCCCAGGACAGGGTTGGATGGAGAATGCTAGTGAGCGGCCTACGCCCTTCACGAGGAGTAACAGGTGTAAGTAAGTAAGTAAGTAAGTATTTATTCTAGTGATCGCTGATTTACAACATACTTAAATCGAGATTTGTATTCAACTTCATTCATTGCTTTTGTATATTGTAATAGACATGCATTTAAACTTAAATGGAATATTCATTTTTGTACTGTTTGTTTGAATCTTCTCATTGATGTTTAGGACTACAATTGATCAGTCTCTTATTGACATAAGTGTATCCTATACTGATTACCTTGATATTTCCTTAGATCATAAACATTATGTGAAGAGGTGGATGGTAGCCAGCAGTAGAATCTAGTAGACGTGTTCCTTCCCACTTGCAGTTCGTCAGCTGGATGTATCTATATATTAAGGACAAAAAGCATATCTTGGATTGTACTGCCAGCCACCATCTATCTCTGCCTAAAATGGAATATGATGAAAACTAGTCAAAGCGTAATTGTTTACAGCGAATGCTTTATACACATAATATCGTTGTCACATGAATAATAAGAGTCTTTCAGCAAATATGATTAGTTAATTGTTAAATATAAACATCAACTCATGCTAAGAACTGCGGTTGTCAAACATCTATCGTCAAAGTAGCATTGTATTACATGAATAGCAGCAAATAGTAGAGAGACTGATGTCTTGCACTTGAATGCTTAAACACCTATTTTCAAAGCACTTTCTAGTCCTCAGAGGTTTTTCACTCTTCAGTTAGAACACAATACAGGTGGTTAAATATAAATGAAGCGCTATTTTGAAAGCTAGTTTATGTACAAAATACTGAGTGTTTATAAAATTGTGAGCGACCATGAAACTCTAGAAGCTCGTGAAAAAAAGTGCTCAAATCAGAAACTAACTAGTAAATTCTTCACTTAGGTTAATGAGAAAAGGTCAATTGTACACAAGATTTTACTTGAAATGAATTGTACTATTAAAAGATTCAGCTCACCTACATAAAATAATCATATCTTATTCTGAATGAAAAGTAAGACAAAATACATTTGACAGTACTTAGACTAAGTTCATTTTCTTATTGTTTCTTATGAAATTTCTAAGAGAAAAGTCTTTCACATAGTTCTCAGAAGGGATTTTCGCGAATATTATAGTAATTTTAATAGTTGAGATCATGAGTCAATTGAGGCTAGTCCACCATGGAAAACCAGGAAGTACTGGACGACCTTACCAGAGTCGAATCTAGGACCTGTCAGACTCGCGCGTGAGCGCTTAACCTCTAGACCACTGATCCGACTGGAATCCAATGATGTTAATGTCTTACTTCAACCAATTCACGAAATCGAACGACACATTTACCATTGTCTTTAGTAAGCTACTATCTCACAACAGATCCGGTTCAACTCCACTTGCCACTGCTTCTCACTAGAACTCCAGGAAATTCCTCATGAAGTCAGTCACTAGTGAACATATGTTGATTAGTATGAGATGGGGTTTTGTTTTAATGAAAAACACAATATTTGAATGATGAAAGTAATTATAAAATACATTTTTTATTCCCTATACAAACTGTAAATTAATTATAACACTGGTTTGTTATACCATGTTTATGAATGTATTCTGTATCTAATTGTTTTCCTTTTAAAAGTAGGTATTTACGTTGGTTGAAATACAAAGAGTAAACTTTTTTATAAAAAAATCAATGTAGTACATGGAGATAAAAATTTAGTTTATTGTGTTATAAAAGTAACTCTCCCTGGTGTTCCTCTAGGGATACTGCAAAGCCCGGATAGAGGAGGAGGGTTGGGCATGTGGTTAGCGACCCCATATCGTAGAAAACTAACTCGCTAAAAACACGCTAACTAGAAAAAAATAATTCGAACTATCTAAACTCTGCCCTGGCAGTTAGAAGGTCTTCATTTAGAAGAGTTGTGACGCTTCATGGTGAAAGCCGAGTTCCTTCGGAAGTCACGATGCTGATGCCCAATCTGACAACCAGAGCAACCAATTATTTAGGTACATGAAGTGCTCATAAAATGTAGGGGACCGATAGTTTTCCGAATTGCTGCAGAATGTTATACAATTATTGGTTTTTATCAGTAGGGGTGTAGGTGTCAATTAAGTATTTTTTTTCCCACTATCTCAATCAAGGTAAGCAGTTCAGAAGTATTGTGGTGTATGCTACTTATATCGACATAAATAGTACATAACATCAATCAGTAATGGAATACCTGGCAGCAGACGCTTCGGAAGAGAATGGGAACAGAGAGTAATTGTTATGAAAATAAATGAACAATGTAGTTTGAAACAATCGATAAAGAATTTTTCAATGAAGTATTGAACTCTGTAATTTCGTATTAATATACACTGTTTGTCCCCCACACCAGTGTGTTCTCGATCATTACAGTATGGTTGTTAGAAAGTTCATACTTCAAGTTAAATATTTTTTGGAGAACATTGAAATTTCTGTTAGAAAGGGGATGCTTTATAACTTTTCTTTGATATTTTATTGAAAACTCAATAGATTTTAGTAAAATACTAATTATCAATCGTTCACATCTCAAGTATATGTCAAAACGTTGACATTTATTAGGAAGTAAACACTAGTGATCCACTACTGAAAAAACCAGCTTTCGGATGAAGAGGAAATTAGAAGACTCTGTAAGTGTATAGGATATAAATTATGAGACAAGTACTAACTTGGAATCTTGAAAAGGAAAGAAAGAGACAAAAATCAAGGAACACACACAGACTAGCAACTAGAAACAATTAGAAAGGATTGGACAGGACAGAGTTGAATGATGAATACTAGTGGGCAGCCTATGCTTTTCCACATGGGGTAACAGGTGTAAGTAAATAAGTAACCAATGTTATGTTATCGAATTATTAGCTTTGATTTATTTCCGTGTTTTATCACATTGATAGTTAACGCCATATCATTGTACACTTTAATTAAGATTGAATAATTCATGGTAAATGATAGAAACTTTCAGATCTTAGTTTCATTCTATCACAGTCTGCAATATTGAAAGAAAGAAATAACTCCATCAGAATGTCAATCTACAATTTTCAGTATCACACTCAAAACTTGTAAAACAGTTCAGATACAATTCAATTGATCAAAAATGCGTTTACAGCTCTTATAATTCCACCATAGTAACCCCCTATCAATTCTCAGAAAGAATATCAAAATCATTTCATTTATCTATGTTATATCCCGATAAGCATAATGAATGGTAACTTTTGGGATCCATTTATACAACAATACTATACGTATAATTTTATGGTATAATTGTCAAATAACTAAACTATTCATATTCATGTCCCTCTCATTATGAGCTTTATTTTGACCTATGAACTATTATTAGACCGTTTAACATTCTTGAATTAATTCCTGTTTATCAATTACTACCTCCCACATTCAAAGTCACATTTCTCTAATTCTTGTACAAATAATGTTTGCTATTTTATGGTACGGTGTGGTTTGTCTGATTGCTATATAAACCCAGTATGTTTGAAATACATGGTTCATATTGCAGAGGCTGAGATTGGTGTTCTGGACTTAACAGGCAGGTCTGGAAGAGAAGCAGGACCGATGAAGGCTCTAGACTGCTCGTACTTGTTTTATGCGTGATTGGTTCAATTGATAAATCACTGCTCTCTAATTGGCGGTATCATTACGTTATAGATTAACAGAGCATTCAGGACACAAGTTATAACAATCTAATCATAAAGAAAGAAAAACATTATCATTTAAAATATCAACCAGTAAACTTACTATACCAAGTTTAGTTGCAAGATTAGGACCAAATACTTTATAAGCTGTTTCAAGTGAACCAGCTGCCATAATTAATAAACATGCAGTTAAATGTATTGGTTTCGATGCAGGACCTTCTGAACCTTTTAATAATGTACATTCTTTAACTGTATTTATTTCTTCTTTAGATGATAATTCTGTAGGAATTGTTGAATGTACAGTTATATATAATTCTATAATTGATGGTGATGTAGTTGAAAATTTATTTGAACTATTATCATTATTACCATAAATATCGATTGATGATTGAGTACAATTATTGAATAATCTTTGAATATGATCTCTAATTGTAGATAATTTCAATATAGCATGATCTCCTATAATAGAATAATCATAAATAAACAATTGAGCTAGAATTAAAAACAAATCAGAAGAGATGGGGGTGGTAGTTGTAGTAGATGAATTCATGATTACCATTAAACAAAAACCTGGAAACAATGGATGGTCAGAACTTTTCAGCAGTGCATATTCATGATCTCACCTCACGAGATTCGAACTCAGGACCTATCAGTCTCGGGGGTAAGCGCTTAAACACTAGGTCACTGAAGAGTCCTATAGGAAGACGAAACAGTCATCCAGTACTTCAAGGTTTTGCATGGTGGTCTAACTTCAATCGACTCATGAATTCATCTACTAAATTAAAAAGAAAGTTGAAACTTTGGGAATTATTCTATATTTGTATATATAGTATATATGTGGTATATGCTACTTATAACTGTAGATATAAGTAGTATGCAACACAAATCAGATTTGGAACACCGTTTACTTATTACTTGTTAACGAACATTTTACCATCCACAAATGTGAAACTGAACAGTTGTATTCAACCATAGTTTCATGATACTCTTCAACTATAATTACATAACTCTTGTAGTAATAATTGTTAGTAAGGGTATTATGTAAAATAAGAAAGATGAATGTATGAATAATAATAAGAACAAGTTCATGTTAAATGGTTTCATAAACGTAAGAATTGGGAAACCATGGTTAACAATAGTAAAACATGAGATAAAGCTTTTTACCCTGTTATTCAGTATTCTAAAAATATGTTGAAGTATTGTCCTAAATCAATCAAGATCGATAAGTCAGTTTTTTTGGCCCTAGGGCTAGTCTATGAAAACTAAGTTGAATTCAAGATAGAAGAACTTGTAATCAACTTGAAAGTGTTTATATAATGGTTTTACTTGACAGGTTTATAAAGAACGTTACTGAAATGTGCTGTACATATGACTACATTATTATGTCACTAACATCAGTCAGTCAGTCGGTCAGTCAGCTACAACGTAGGATCAGGCACTTACATCCATCGGTCCAAGTTGCCACACCTCATTAGAACAACAAGATGAACACCGGATTCATAGAAGTAGTTAATTTAATGTTGGTAATATATAAAAGAAAGATTGTGTATAAGGACATAGCACAGGAAGAAAGAATTAGTTGGTAGCAAGAAAGATATGAAGCGATTTTAATCTCACAGTTTAAAGGAAGACAATGAGTGCATACACCGACGACATTGTGATTGATTCTGTGCTATGTTACACACAGTCTCCAACCATTTCTACCTTGACGTCGTGGTCGGGCTTGCCTATCGTGATGAACCAGTCGAGCTATACTGACTGGAACAATCGTTCCTCAAGGTCCTACTATACCAGACAGGTCGGTTGAAGAGCGGTAATATTAAGAGCAGCAATCCCAAGTTTTGAGGTGTGACAGCAGTAAGGTGTTTCCTTCAGACATCCAGCATGACAGCGATGCTGCCTTTCCATAAGGAGGGGTGGGGTTAGAAAAAGTCGACCCTAAAAATGCACACCTCGCCCTATCCCACGGATATCCGTCTCCGGTGGTAAGGTCTCAACAGGTAAGGAGTTAATACGAAAACTACTCACAAAAAGGTCGTGTGTGACCGACCTCAAGCACTTGCCCCTTGGGTACTGTGGTCACACTCTCAGGCCACTAAGACCACCTTTAATCCGGTTTCGTTTTCAGGTACCTCCAGAAGAACCCCTCCACGATGTGAGCAGCCGGGAAATGATAACCACCCTCATACTTCTAACAACACTCAAAACCACTGTGACTAACATATTTGCTTCTAATCCTATCTATCATTGTAAGCACATCCATATGACCTTTTATGAACCATCACATAACTGTGATAGATTATTATATCGTACACAATTTATCCCTAGTATATGCAAGGTGTAGAAATTCGTATTATTACGTGCCTATGTAAATTATTCTAACTTTTGAAAAGACAAATTATTCTAATCTTTCCCAGATATTCTAACACGTATACATTTTCTCCCGCCAATCGCTCATGTGTAACCTTAAACATTTTCTTATACATCTCTGTATGAAAATGTGTAAGTGTCGTTTCTCTTCTTGTGTTTCCACATACTTCACAAAAAACGGTGTCATCATATGATTCACTAAGTCAGTGTATTATCAATCTCCATATTCATTGAATCCTCTATTTCATGTTTGGAGTTCAATATTAGAATATCTGAAATATACTTATCTACATTTTAACGACATGATTTATTAACAGAATGTATAAGAAGTTAATAGAAAATACATTTCTTTAATATCAATGTCATTTAGTCCTTATGGGGTGGTCAGTGGCGAACACTGTAAGTTTTTGATGGAGTTTTGTTCTGTGAACTGGATGGTTTAGTCATGGAGCTTTCATCACTGAAGTAGACTGCTACCTGAAATCCACCTAAGCTACAAATCTTCTCGACCACACTATAAGTTTAAAGAAAGTCAATTCCATTCAATTCAATTTAAATTAGACTCATTCAATTTAATATTAATTCTATCTCAATGCCAGTGTAGTGAACAGAACACCAGTGGGGACAATCGAATGTATTTGAGCACAAAATTACAGAGCATCTCAATAAAATCTGAGAACTATATAGTCAGTATATCAATCCATCATCTCAAACTTGACTTTTCCTGTTACAAACATCAATCCATTGTCTCAGATTTCATTGTTCATACGTTTTCATACCAATTGTATTTCGTTCCCGTTCTTTCCTCATCGATCTTCTACTGAAATACATTCTATGCCTGACCACCGTTATATACTACTTATGTGGATATAAGTAACCCACACCACAACAGTTCAGTTTATTTATTGTTCATTTCTATTCTATTACTACTAACACTATGTTTCTGAAAGTTATTGTAAGTTCAGTGTTTATAAACTTCAGAGTTCTTCAACAAGAAACTTTGGTCCAACTGATAGAAATTTACAGCAGTATTTGATAAAGTGAGACTTTAATTTATCGGTGACTTTTGAGTAATGTTCGGAATCCCTATGATAAATTAAACTGCAAAATCGCGCATGGAGGACAATTGACAGACTCGTTCGAGGTAATGACCTGTGTCAGGCAAGGTTGCTTAATCTCACCATTTCTCTTTCTCCTAATGATCGATTGGATCATGAAGACATCAACATCTGGGGGAAGCATGAGATCTAGCCGACAGCTAGGATGCAACTGGACGACACAGACCTCGAAGATGATCTGGCTTTTCTATCACACACGCAACAACGAATGCAGGAGTAAACGACCAGTGTAGCAGCAGCCTCAGAAGCAGTAGTTCTCAACATACACAGCGGGAAAAGCAAGATTCTCCGATACAACGCAGCATGCACCAATCCAGTCACAATTGACGGAAAAGATTTCGAAGATGTAAAGTCTTTAACATATCTGAGCAGCATCGTTGTTGAACACGGTAGATCTGATCCAGATGTGAAGGCGCAGATCGGAAAAGCAAGAGTAGCATATTTAGCATTGAAGAACATCTGGAACTCAAAACAACTGTTTGTCAACCAACATCAAAGTCAGAATTTTCAATACAAATGTCAAGACAGTTCTACTGTATGGTGTAGAAACCTGGAGAACTACAAAAGCGATCATCCACAAGATACAGGTGTTTATTAACAGTTGTCTACGCAAAATACTTCGGATCCATTGGCCAGACACTACACTATCAGCAACAACCTACTATGTGAGAGAACAAACTAGATCCCAGTGAAGGAAGAAATGAAGAAGAAACGTAGGAATTGGATAGGACACACATTGAGGAAAGCACTGAACTGAATCACAAGCAAAGCCATCAATTAGAATCCTGAAGCCAAAGGAGAAGAGGAAAACCAAACAGTACTTTACTTCGAGAAATCGAGACAGACATGAGAAAAATGAACAAAACTTGGAAAGGAATGCTAGAAAGGAATTCCCAGGACAGAGTGGGTTGGAGAATGGTGGTCGTTGGATCATGCTCCATTGGGAGTAATAGGCGTAAGTAATTAAGTAAGTTTGAGTAATGTTAAAGTGACTTTGAGATAACTTATCTACTTATTAGGGTCAAAAAAGGATTTGAAATTATATAGAAGGAATTACAAGTAAGATTTAAAGTTGGAATTTAGGATTTGGAATTAGAATAAAGATTTTAGTCATGAACTAGTATAAACTATAATCCAAACATACTATTAAATTATAAAGATGAATAAATTACATTCCAGCGTCCCAAACTTGCTATCTTTAGTTTCATTGGTATGTCTATATATATTATAGCCTTGCCTTTGATAATTGTCAAAATACGGATATCGTCAGTCATCAATAGAATGTAACTGATGTAAGTTTGTAGTAGAAATGATTAGTATATCGAATAATTTATTCAAATACTAAATGATAGATCGCTGACAAATTGAAATGTAATTCAATAGTCCAATTCATGAGTTGATCTAAACTAGACCATTATTAAAAACCTGGAAGCGTTGGACGGCCGTTCCCCTTTAGAATGGAACTCTTCAGCAGCGCCCATCCAAGATCTCATCCGTGGGATTCGAACCCTGAACCTTCGATCTCACGCATGAACGCTTAACCTCTAGATTTCTGAACAGGCATCTAACGGTCTTAATGACTAACTTCGAACAATCCACGAAATTGCGCCACCCTCCACCATTGTCTTCAGTGAGTGACTGTCTTACAACAGTGACGATTGAACTCTACTGGTCTAGAAGTTATGAGTTCGCGTACGAACCCGATAGGTCCTGGGTTCGAATTTCACTAGCGGGATCATGGATGACCTACTGACGAGTCCCATACTAGGACTGAATGGCCGTCTAATATTTCCAGGTTTTCCACGGTGGGCTAGCTTCAATTGACTCATGATCTCAGTTATTGAAATTATTATAATATCCACAAAACCTACTCTGATATTAATATCAGACAGCTTGTGATGAAAATATCACTGAAGGTAACTACTTAGTAAATGATTTTTTTCCCAGAAACTAGATAAATACAAGTATCTAGTTATATAACGGTTCAATTTAGTCGTTTTGTTTCTACATAATGTTATTTTATTCAACGAAAGATTGACTGAATCTCCTTTTGTCTTTGTGAAGGGAAATAAATAACTTTTATTGACAGTGAATCATATAACATTATTTCTTATTTAGAGAAAAACTTACTTGAAGCTCCCTTCATTTCCATAATTGCTTGACCATTCAAACAAACAGTATATCCTTGTACTGGTAAACTACTACTAGCACCGGCAGCTGTAACAGCTTCTACTGCATTTTTATCTTGTGGGACTGGAAGCCATGTGATAAGTAGCATGCCATCTTGAGGTCCAGCCTCAATTTGTACATGACTTGGAGGATCTGGTAAGCCTAAGTATATTATTTTTTTAAAAAAGAAACATTTTCAAACCAATCTGTTTAGTTTAATCATTGAAGATATAAACAAATGATAAACTTGTCTTAAGGTAGTAAAATATATTTCAAGTATTTTCAGAACGCGGTTGTGAAAATTGTCGAATCATATTGAAACTATAAACCGATTTAAGTTAGACCATAATTGAAAACTTGGAAGCACTGAACGGCTGTTTGGTTCTAGCGTAGAACTCGTCCTCTAGACCATGGTCTAAAGTTTAAGAGATCGTGTGAGTAACTAACGGTCACGGGTTCGAATCCCGTATAAAGAATCGTGGATGCGCACTTCTGAAAAGTCCCATACTGTGACAAAGCAACCATCCAGCGCTTCCAGGTTTTCAATGGTAGTCGAACATAGATTTGTTCATGAGTTCAATAACACTTCAAGTAGATTATAATTATCCACTGAGAAAAATTGACAGTTTGCTATTTTAATTTCAATGGTTAAAATCATGAGTCAGTTGAAGCTAGACCACCATGGAAAACCTGTAAGCACTGGACGGCCTTTTTTTCCTGTTGTGGGACTCCTCAGCAGCGCGCGTCCGTGACCCCACTTCGCGAGATTCGAACCCAGGACCTACCTACTTGTAAATTGTATAGACGGAATTCAATAAACGTTATGGTAAGATAATGTGATATTGGTTGTTATTCAGTAATTTTTTGCTTTAAAGTATTATTTTAACATTTATAAGCAAAAATGGATAGTGGATAGCGGTGGAATTCATGACAGGCGTCTCGTTCTATTCTGGGACTCGTCAGCTGGATTTAACTGTATCTCAGAGTTGATATTCACTTTTGGACTCAAACCCAGTACCGTTCGCTTCAAATGCCATCACGTTATCCGCTTGGCCACTGAGTCCTGTTAGCCATCTGCTTTAGAAGAAAATCCAACTGTATATCACAAATGCTATGGCTTTTTCATTTAGCTGTTAGCAGCTAATCAAATGAAGTGTAACCAACATAGCCACAGATTCTAAGGAGCATTAATTAAGCGTTTTGGACATCTATTTTCTAATTACAATGAATGATATCTAGTACTATGTATCTGTCAGCCATATCAGAGAAGATGGTAAAAATCAGCTTTAAGACGGACTTCAGTCCATCCTATGAAAACGAGCAGAACAAAACTTGACTATCTTGATGAGATGAACAACATCAGGTATGAAGATATTGTAAAGTCCTTTCGTTTATGGGTTCATACGTATATGTGTGCTTATTTATGAAAATCTCCCATGTATACAGTTAATATAACAATAACACTATATAAGCAAAGATGATTAATGGCTAGTAGTGTACTACAGGATTCGCGTTTTGTCCTATTAGGGACTCGTCAGTTGGATGTAACTTTCAGACATTGAACGTTTTACCTTTTTCAATGCATAACTCTTTCTACAATTAGCTTGGTGTTATTCATTTAGATGTCTTGTATGATTCATAGTTATATTCTTTATAATTAGAATTTTACCAAATTCAAACATTGCGTTTTGTATTTATCTGTGAACAAAGGTGCTTGTCAAACATTGAATTGGAGGCCATAAAAATTCTGTGCCACATAAGTATGGAAGTAACAGATATCATCAGGCGACATAGACTAAAAGAATGAAACGAGAGTGATGAGTGACTAGAAAGTGTATAGGAAGTCAACGAATTGGTTATAGGGGATAGGATTTTAACCCCGAAATGAATAAATGAAGCTACATGGGTCTCAACGGTTTACGGTGTTGTGAACCAGATTGATTACATATAGGTCAATAAAACATTTAATGCGTCAGTGGAAGACATAAGAACAAGAGAGGAGCTGACATAGCTTCAGATAACTATCTGGTGGTAGCCAAGCTGAAACAAAAATCATTATACAGCTCAATAAGTATCACTGAAAAGTTTAATAGAGTCTTCTTTCTAGATGCTAACAAACTTAACGAATTCAAGCTAGATATCAGCAACAAATTCAAAAACTGACATGTTCTACTAGAAAAAAAATGAAACCACTATAGGGAACAACTAGAAAGGTATTATGGAAGTAATAATATGGCAGGACGTGCTGGGCCTCAAGAAGCACCAATATAGAAAACGGGTTCCTATAAACAACCTGGGGAATTTTCAAGAAAGGGTAAACAGGAAAACATAAATCAAAAGCGGATGAAATCAAAGCACAAGCCTGTTATAACTTGTGCCCTAAATGCCCTGATAATGTATAATGTAATGATACCGCCAATTAGAGAGCAGTGATTCATCAATTGGACCAATCACGCATAAAACAAGTACGAACAGTCTAGAGCCTTCATCGGTCCTGCTTCTCTCCCAGCCCTGCCTGTTAAGTCCAGAACACCAATCTCAGCCTCTGCAATATGAACCATGTATTTCAAACATACTGGGTTTATATAGCAATCAGACAGACCACACCGTACCATAAAATAGCAAACAACATTTGTACAAGAATTAGTCAAATATGGCTGTGAATGTGGGAGGTAGTAATTAATAGACAGGTCATAACTCATGAACGGTAAATCGTATAATAATAGTCTATGGGCCAAAATAAAGCTTATAATAAGAGAAATATGAATATGCATAGCTTAGTTATTTAACAATTACATGACAAAAATTTACGCATAGTATTTTTCTATAAATGGATTCCAAAGGTTACCATCCATAATGCTTATCGGGACCTAACAAAGCCGAATATTGAGAAGTAAACATGCAAAACAAACCAATGTCTGGGGCTCCGGAGAGACAGATCATGTAGATAGAGCAATTTTAGGAGCTTCTAAATAGACCAGCCTCACTGAACCCTCTGAACATCAAGACAGCACACACAGACTTTCCTGTAGATAGTGCTGCACCAACAATCGTAAAATTTCCAACGCCATCAGACAAATAAAAAGTGAATAAGTGGAAGGATTAGACAACATACCAGCCGAAGTACTAAAGTTAGACATAGAGGTAGACACCATGATGTTTCATGTTTGCTGAAAAAGAGAATGCTTAATAATAAGTAAAGGTGTAAATTACAGACAGATAACATTGCTGTTACTGATACGCAAAGTTTTTAACAGTGTTTCTGAACCAAAAGAAAGATTCATTAGATGCTGAACTCGAGATTAACAGGCTTACTTTCCTAAGGACCGATTACATGTTGACAAACTGCGACACTATGTTTCATTGTTAAACAATTAGTTACATAGAACTCATCCCTGTATACATAAAATTTCTTGATTATGAGAGAGCATTCTACAGCCTGGATGAAAGAACTTTACGGAATATTCCTCAACATTGTGATGTATCTGAAAAGATAATCACAATCTACAGAACTCCAACGACGTATTAAACTGCAAAGTTGTGTGTTGGAGTTGGAGCATAGATGAATTTCAAATGAAGACGAGGGTGCCTTCTGTAGCCTACATCCTTCCTGACAGCTGTTGGCTGGATAATGAAGACCCTTTACTACGCAGTAGAGCCACAGAATACGGTGAATAATGAAGATAAAGTTGGATGATTTGGACTTTGAAGTTGCCTTAAATTTGTATTGCATACACAGCAATAAATCCAGACAAAGACAGTCATTATAACAACGATTTATGCAGCAGTAACCCCCATCATCTACAAGGGGAAGTGCAAGATCCTGAATTACAACATAATGAGTACCCATTAAGGCACACTTGATGACTAAGCTCTGAAAGTGGTAAAAACTCTTGCATACCTGAGCAGCATCATAAATAAACAAGGAGGGTCCTTTAGAGATACCAGGGCACGAATTACCAGAACATGGACAACATTCCCACAAATGAAAAATATCTGGGACTCGAAGCAAACGTATCTCAAAACCGAAGTCAGAATCTTCAACACAAACGTCTAAATAATTTTACTGCATCGATCTGAAACTTGGGGAACTACTATAACCATCATCAAGAAAGCATACGAATTTGTAAACGGCTGCTTATGTGAGATTTTGACCAGAGACTGTCAGTAGTTAATCACTGTAGAAGAGAGCAAACCAATAAACTGCTTAGGAGTAGCAAAAGATGCTGAAAGCGGATACGACATACTAAGAGAAAACCATTAGACTGCATCACATAGCAATCCTTAATTTGAGATCACCAAGGCAAAATAAAAACAAGCAGATGACATAACACATGACCCCAAGAATCGGATAAAGATATGAAGAGGATGAATACCATTTGGTAACAACTAGAAATGGGAGTTGAGGATATAACTGAAGATTCCTTGTTAGCGGCCTATGCCTCATGAGGGATGCCAGGCTTAAGTAAGTAGGTACTATTGCTTGGTGACAAATAAGATTTCTCTAAAAGTGACTGGATAAAATATTTCTCTAGGAAGATTACTTCACCGACTGATCTTATCCAGAAAACCTATTAAAAACCAGATAGAACTTGAGAACTGTTACGTCCCCAGTTTAACACCCCATAGTAAAGAATGGCCTTATATTTTGACCACCAGTAATCGAACAAAAGTTATTAAAGTCTAATAATGAATTCGTTATATTTGGATTAACAGATCGAAATCATGTGATTTACATATTCGACTTCTGCCAAATTGTGATTCACTCGGACAGACATTTGATACAATAGCTGATATACTGAATAGAATTTAAACGAATATTACAAGATTTTTGTGAACGTACCTATAGGTAATGTACGAAATTCGATAAAAGCAGCTAGTTTCTGTGTATGTACACCACTCCAGGCAGTATTAATCCAAGGTGGAGATTGCTGAGCTGATTCTTGTACACTAATTGGTGATGGCAAAGCTTGAACACATACTTGATGCAAAGTATCTGGTGGTAGATCTAATTGAAGACAAATAAATAAAAAATAGAATGAATGATCGACAATCATTAATGGCATTGATAAATACCAGTATTACAATCAAAAATGTTGAAGAATGTCTGGCGAGACTATAATTTATGGATGAATTCATCAGATTTACAATAACAGGTCTTGAATTTTGGCGCGAAATTCACTCGTCCATTTAGCCAAATAGCGTCTTGGCATTGAAGCTGATGTCAGTCAGAAATGGTTTTCAAGGAATTAAACCACATTATATACAATTAGTTTATGTCGAACAGTGCCAAGAATAGTATTTGTTATTTGATCATTCTATTTGAGATGGCAGAGAAGATTTGTAGCTCATGTAAATGATTTTGATGGAGTTTTGTTCTCTGAGCTGGATGGTTTGATTGTGGAGCTTTCACTTCTACCTGACGTTTGTGCTGATGATACAGTTCAGAAGAATGATGAAAGCTCCACGACTAAACCATCCAGCTCACAGAATAAAACTTCATCAAAATCATCTACCTGAGCTACAAATCTTTTGAAATATCTCAGATATTATGTTTTATTTCCCTCGATTCATTACCATACTGTTGATATATCACAATAACCTATAACACATTTATTCATGCATCGATCAAATGAAATTATGTAAATCATAGATATTGATTAAAATTTTGATCTTATTTGACCGATCAGAAACAAATGTCTTCTTTAATTCAGATCAACTCTTTTGTATCATTCATTTAAATAAAACGATGAAAATTGGTTGAATATTTCTTTTTCTTCCTGTTATTATCAATCGGTTGAATTAACTTCAAAAAAGAAACGATCAAATGATAACACCGTTAGATGCTGATTCAGTAGTTTAGAGGTTGAGAATTTGTACACAAGATTGATAGTTCTAGGTTTGAGTCCTATGTGCAAGATCGTAGATATGTATTGCTGAGAAGTTGCAGACAGAATGGCTGTCCATAGCTTTAAGGTTTCCAATGATAGTCGAGTTTAGATCAATTCAGGACTTGAACTATTAAAATTACTACAATCTGCACAAATTCCCATTCTGATAATAATCATCATATGCTTACTAATGATCAAGTTAGATTTCCTGGAGTTCTAGTAAGAAGCCATGACCAGTGGAGTCCAATCCATGTCGGATGGAGACAGTTATCTACCTCAGACAATAGATAAAGAGTTGCTCAAGATCATGGATCAATTGAAGTTAAACATGAACACCATCGGATGTTGACTCAATAGTTTAGAGGTTTGAAGTTCGCACACAAGACGGATGATCTTGGGTTCGAGTCCCTTTGGTGCCGGATCATGGATATACACTTCTGAGGAGTCCCATAGTAGGAAAGAACAGTTAATATGAAGATTTCATGTTGAAAGATCAACCCATCTCATTCATTGTGTCTTTTTTTATTTTTGGTCATTTAAAAAGTTTATTGAAGGAAAAGTAAAATTCATAAAGTTCTATCACTTTGTATTGATGACCTGAGATAAATAAGATTAGATTTAATATAATGTTTGAATTATCAGGTTAAGAAATCCTATAGAAGTAAACATGAATGATGTTGGCAATTACAATCCTTTACATTGTACATCTGTAATTGTGAATTCTTATTTTAAAAAAAGCTATATGGAATATCGAGTTTGTATGAATCGCTTGATTCTTACAAACTTACGCATGTTACACGTCATTCAGGATCATAGGCCGCCCACTAGCATTCTCCATCCCACTCTGTACTGATCAATCCCTTCCAGTTGCTATTCACCCTTTTCATGTCTGCTTCCAATTCTTGGTGCAGTATTTTCTTTGGTTTTTCTCTTTTCCGTATTCCTTCAGGATTTCAAGTTAGCGGTTGCCTCATGATACAGTTTGAAGATTTCCGTAATGCATTTCCTATCCACTTCCAACGTCTTTTCCTTATTTCCTCTTCAGATCAAAGCTGGTTTGTTCTCTCTTATAATAAGATGTTGCTGATGGTATACGGCCAGCGGATATTGTGTTTTTGGAGTAAACAGCTGTTTAGAAATACTTGTACATTGATGATGATGGTTGTAGTGGTTCTCCATGTTTCAGCTCCGTACAGTAGAACTGTCTAGATGTTCATATTCAAGATTGCAAATTTGATGTTGGTTGAAAGTTGTTTCGAATTTCATATGTTCATCTGTATGAATGCTGTCCTTGCTTTGCCAATCCTCGCCTTGACATCTGCATCAGATCCTCCTTGTTCATCGATGATGCTGACCAGGTACATGAAAGATTCCATCTCTTCGAGAGTTTCTCCATCAAGTGTGATTGGGTTGGTGTTTTCTGTGTTGTATTTGATGGTCTTGTTTTTTCCCCTTGTGTATGTTGAGGCCTACTGATGAAGAAGCCGTTGCTACACTAATTGTCTTGACCAGCATTTATCTGTGTGTATGGGATAGGAAAGCTAGTTTATCTGCAAATTCCAAATCATCTAGTTGTATCCAACCACAATCTTGAGAGGAATAATTATTCTCAAAATACTTAAAAGTAGGTCACCAATACCTATAGTTAAACTCATTTATTACCATAATCATCTTATTATTACTAAAGGTCAGTCGCAGATTAAATGCCTAGTATTAACACATATGATTGAGATGTAAGTTATAAACTTGAATAGTATATCAATTCCTTAAAGATTACAATCATACCATATTGACTAGTACTAATCAGTAAGAAGTTTATTTTAATTGTTAAACAAGGATTTACCAGTTAAGTGCAGTTTATATACACCAGGTTTGCATACATGTAATGAAGTTTCATTTAAGTAAACTCGATGATAATAATTACTATTTCCTGGAATCCAACTTAATTTAGCTGATTTAGTACCAATTTGTGTAGCTTTTAATCGAGCTGGTGTAGCAGTCATACCACGACCTACAACTAATGTACATTGTGCATCTTTAGATTGACCATGTGAAGAAATAGATCGAATTGAAATTCGATGAGGCTAAAATTAATAAGAAAAATAAGTAAACAGATATTTTTGAATGTTAAACATAACGTCATAAAGAGTGAATAGAAATAAGAAGCATTCGATCTGCATTAATAAGGACTTGACGCACATGACATTGATCACCATCCGGTGATCAATCAATTGTGATTACATCTCAGTCCTACAGGAGGTTGGTTGCTGCCCGTATAGCTGAGTGGTAACGTCTCTGACTGTGAAGCTGGGTGACTCGGGATCGAATCCATCAAGGAGTACCAGTTCCCTCAAGATTACAGGTACACCATGCTGACGAGTGCCAAGTAGCACGAAACCTAAGTCCAGAGTTTCCTGTCGACTACCTCCAACCACCATTTAATCTCACTAAGTTTAGTTTTTCGAATCTTTAGCTGTAAAGATCGAATGGAATATAGTTTTTTCAAACTACTGGAGGTGATTTATTGAAATTCTTAATCTTGGTTTTGTGTTTGTTGGGATTAGTTAGCAATAATTATCTGTGATGTCGAAGAAACTATTGATTTTTAGGTTGTAGATATCATGGATCGATCCCAGTTGGGATATTACTGAAATTTAGAGTGAACTAGAAAGCTGTTTCATTCTAATATGATACTTTTTAGTAGGGAGCACTGACAGCTTAACAAAACAGCGTAATCAATAGCTTTCGGAGTGATCAACAGAATTAAAATATCACTACGAGGGTATACAGATTGTTGAATCATGTTAAGATTACGAACTGATGTAAGTCAGATAGTCTTTGGAAACTCCAAAGCAATGAACACTTGTTTCATCCTAGTGTAGAATTTTTAAAAAGTGTGCAACCATGACCTTACCCCAGGGAACCAAAGCTAGAAAGTTCACCATTGTGTAAGAACGTCTTACTCTATCAATGATATCAATGTTTTAACACGAATGGTTTTTCAATTATTTGATTGTTTTGTTGATGAAGTTTGAGCTAATACATATCTATACCACACTTTACATTGTTACTACTACTACTACTTTGTAGACAGATAAACTGTTAGTAGCCTATTTGCAAACCGAACAAATCACTGGTGATACATTTATTGATTAATAAATGATGATAAATACATATCATTGATAGCTGTCAATTGATATAAAGCTTACTTATAACAATACTGAATTACAGCTATCACTATCAACGTAACAATACAAGTATTGTTCTTCTACCTTGTTTCAGGCTTTGACAGTTGAGTAGAGTGAACAAGTATAGATTTTTATGTTAAAGTATTAATTCTATGAGGAAATGTGAACGTGAATAACAAATATGACGTAATAGAAAGATTAGAATACTAGATTACGCAATACGATCTTCACAGTCTATATATAACATTAATCCCTTAGTGATTGATAAGTAACCACCAACTATTCGTAGAAATTTATAAGCATCTTCTAAAAATAAAAGTTATATTAGTAAAGTAACAAAAATGATCTATGTTCGATCTCATGAAGATGATTCGAAAGATCTTTGGTCAAACCAATTAATGATATGAATTAGTTTCATTATAAAACATCACAATTGATTGATCACTGAGTTGTGATCAATGTTATGTGTGTCAAGTCCTTCTTAGTGTCAATCGAATCCTATCGACAAATTTGCCATATGGCCCCTGACCTAGATGACTCGATATTGTGTGTACTATAATGAGATTAGATGGTGGTTGGAGGTATTCTACAGTAAACCCTGGACGTGAGTTTCATGCTATTTAGCACTTGTCAGCAAGGTGTACCTGTAATCTTGAGGGACTTGATACTCTCTGATTGATTCTATCCCATGTCACCTAGCTTCGCAGTCACTGGGCTTCGACAAACCTCCTGCAGGACTGAGATGTTCAGGGTTACCTGTTGATTACCTGAAACCACTATCTTCTGGTAAAACATCATTTTGACACATGAGATGAAAACAATACTTAGAAATCTTTCAAGGTAATTAATAAAGAGTAAATATTATTATTAGAACTTTTCGGATTTGTTTAAATACACAATATTCTTAATCAGAAAGCAAACAACTATCAAATACTTCATCTGTTGTATAGTTCTTCGACTGATACCAATGTATAACAAAATCTACATTCAATATGTAGAAAAATTAAAATTAAATTAATTTTAATAGTTGAGATCATGAGTGAGTTGAAGCTACTCCACCAAGGAAAACCTGGAAGCACTGGACACCCATTTCGTCCTAGTATGGGATTCCTCAGAAGTGCACATTCACGATCCTGCTCGTGAGATTTGAACCCAGGACCTATCAGTCTCGCAAGCGAATGCTTAACCTCTAGACTACTGAGCCGGCCAGTATCCAATAGTGTTGATATCTAACATCAACCAATCCACAAAATCGAGCGACACATCCATCATTGTCTTCAGTAAGTTACTATCTCACAACAGACTCAGTTGTACTCCACTAGTCACTGCTTCTCACTAAACTCATGATCTCAACTATTTAAATTACTATAATATCCATACCCCCCCCACTTTATTTTTTAATATTAAATTATTATTATTAATAATTATGTACTTTATCAGCATCCACATTATCAATGAGTGCACGAGTTTTTTCTTTAGCCATAACAGCTAAACGAAATTGCCCATCTACATAAATATGATATGCAGATACAATTTTATTTTCATTCATTGAATTTAATTCTGGTGATTTCCAACTAATTAATACACTTTGAAATAGCTGACGTTCTAATGTTATCATTCTTGGTGCTGGAACATCTAAAATTAAAGTTGAAATATACATATGACAGAGATAATATGTTTAATGAGGTGGGAAATAACCAAAACCAAAGATGGATATAATGGTTAGTATTGGAATCCAGGATGAGTGTTTCGTCCTGTTTGGGACTTGTCAGCTGGATTTACCTACATCTCAGAGATGATGGGACTTGAATCCAGTCCCATTCACTTCAAATGCTATCAGATTATCCACTTAGCTACTGAGTCCTAATAACCACTAACTTGTACAATGGGGTGAAGATAGGTGGATAACGCGATGGTATTTGAAGTAAACGGTACTGGGTTCAAGTCTCAAAGTGAACATCAACTCTGAGATGCAAGCACATTCAGTTGATGAGTCGAAAATTGAACGAAACACACGTCCTGGATTTCAATGCCAACCAGTATATTCATCTTTGCTTATAGGTATATCATGCTGGTAATTTAGAAAAATCATCAAACATAAACAGTTGCATCTTAGATAGTAAATACTCTTCTATTGGTTAACATGTTACTAGTAAATAACTGGCATTAAAATTAATTTTATGAATCATGTCAGTATAAAAAGACATGACTGATTAATCATTTAGAAAGATTTCTGAAAGTCTAACATATTTGACCCACATCTATTTAAAGGAATCACCTAAATTCATTCTAGTTGATCAGTAAATGTAGGCCACTTATAATAGTTACCAAACTATTGACCAATACAAACAAAAATGTAACATAACAGATATCTATGAAGCAGAATTATTGATAAACTGTTATGTGCTTCATTGTATAACTCGATCAGTCAGCAACAATGTAGAACTTCGTACGTACGTATGTACATCACTTCAAGTTGTCATACCATATTAACATGGAGATACACTTGTCGATTTAAATCCTATAATGATAGATGAAGTAAAAGTATAAGCAGTAATCGAAAAGATTATAGATCAGATTTCAAATGAATCCTTTGTTTTATCCATAGTACAATCAGTGTTAATCCTCGCTCGAGCGATGACACACTGTAGCACACTGGCATCACGAAAAAATGAAGAGCATTACCTGAAGGACATCTTTCAAAAGAACGGCTACCCAATCAACTTCATCAAAAAATACCAACAGCATGCATCATCAGAATCCAAGTGAAGCAGAGAAATCAACAGAAGGATCATTCTACCATACATAAAAGGCATATCAGAAACCACAACAAAACCGCTGAAAACCTTCGAAATAGGTGTTCCACACAAACCGACAAAACCACTATAATCAATCCTGTGCAAACCAAAGGATCAAATAATAAAAGAAGACAAACCAAACATCATCTACAAAATAAATTGTGTCAACTGCGAAACAGACTACATCGGACAAAGCGGACGACCTCTTCATCTTTACCTTCATGAACATCAATTAACAGTCAAACACCATGACATTTACTCAATTACGTCAAAACACGTGGACAAATGCGAACACACATTCGACTAGAAAATGTGACAATCTTCGATAGAGGAAATTCCAAAAACATCAGAGAATTTTTAGAAGCTTGGCAACCACATCAATCAACAATCAACAAGCACATGGAAATCTATCCAATTCATCAACTTATCAATCAGGAAAATTATACACACAAATAGGAACAAAAATCAAACCAATAGGAGACACAACCAAAACAACGAAGTAAACAATGACAGATTTAGAGTCAACAAGAACCAATCAATATCGAGGTGTACAGGACAAGCCGTGAACCACGTATGGAGAAATTTGAGTATTTCAGTTCTATGTGAAGTTTGTGCAAATGATGTCATTCAGAAGAATGATGAGAGCTTCACGACCAAACCATCGAACTCAGAGAACAGAACTCCATCAAAATCATCCCCCTGAGTTACAAGTCTTCCCCACCATGTCAGAAAGTTTATGATCATCACTCGGCGTTCATATCTCATAAGGTTGTATTATTAATATTATTTGAGCATATAAATATTGATACAAAGGGGCATTGAATACATATGCGCCACACAAGTCACTAGATTTGTGTGCGTGGTCAATGATAGTGCCCGAGTGGCCAGACCGATGCAGGAGGTTTTCTGAGGAGGTCACACCCCAAGCCTTCGATTTAAAGGTCTGGTCCACAAGGCAGTGGAGCAGCATCAGGAGATACAGTCACATGGTGCCGGTGACCAATAATTGGTTCATACACCGTTTGTTTACTCAGGATTCTGGAACTCATGTCCACCATTGGTTTGGAATCAGGGTTTTCCAACTGCCCTAGGTGGTGTCTCCGTATCCACCAACACGGTCAATGAGCCGGACATTCGCTTTTCGTCTTCTTAATTTCCAAAACAACACCTGTGCCACGAGAATGTAGTGAGTAGGACTTCCCTGGCAGACGCTATATACACGTGGCCATGTGAGAGCATTTCGAGAGAGAGAGAGTGGACTCTCCCCATTCTCTGCCATACCAGGGCATTTGGAGGGCTTATGAGGTTGACTTGTTGGTTATTCTCAACGTTTTATTTTTAGGTTTAATAATCACATCATGAAAACTAAGGAATGATAAATTTGATTAAGTAATCACTAAAAAAGAATCAGAAAGGATCAATTATCAATTTCTGAATGATAATTAATCTTACAAAAATTAACCATCTACACTTTCAACTCTTATTTCATAACTAAACTTATCATTATCCTAATTGACTTAAAATAAACATAAAATTCAGTCAGGAATAAACTCGACATTGTCAAGTCAGCTAAGTATATCGTAGTCAGTAATAGTCACTCAATTGTAGATATTTCAGAATAGTTTCTATAATAAAATTAATTGAAAGTATGATGTCTTTCATCATTATTGACTGCGCTACAATTTACATGTTCGTAGTATGATGGAATGGTATTTTCATCAAAAACTACTTTACATTTTTGATGTAAGCCAGTAAAAACGACAAAGAACGAACCATCATCACCCCTCCGTCATGGACTACGACCATGTAAATAATTATTCCAGCTTAATTTTAGTTGGTTGCCGGGTTTATGTTCAAAACGGAGAAGAAGAGTGAAGTTTATCCATTGTACAAATTATTGACTTTAATATTCATCTTAAGATAGTAATAATAACCGATAACATCGTTTTGTTAAAATGATCAATATGATTGGATGACATGTTTGAAAAGTACAAAGAATGGAAGGTGTAGGAACTTATTCATCAATGAGGAGGTTAATTGTAATAATAAGTATAAACTATAGTTGTTTTACTATTATTCGGTATGATCGGTGGAATAGAATTCTTTAGTCATTCGATAAATGCTCCCTATAAGGCATGTTCTTTTTTACTTACGCCTGTTACTCTCAATGGAGCATAGAACACCACCAACCAGCATTCTCCAACCCACTCTGTCTTGGGCCTTGCTATCCAATTCTATCCATATTACAAGAACCATAATAGCCCTAGAGTATACTTCACATTATCAGCTCAAAAGAATGTAGTGATCCTTTGGGGATTTCAATTAAACAGCATTATCTTTCATCCATTAACAATATGATCAGGTTTCAAATGAGAAAATAACATGAAACCTATAAATTGATCTGGACAACGATACTTTTAATGAAAATAGAAAAGGTTTAAGTTAAGTTGATTATCTATTCAAAAGAATTTACAGTAAACTTACCGGTTGATTTGTTAGATTCTTCAATAACTTGAAATAGTTCGACTAAATTTGGATCATCACCTTCTATGATAAAATAAATGGAAAAAACAACTAAATATTTCTTCTATATAGATACTGTTCGATGATTAGACACAGTGAATTTGCGGGGTGCGGGACCGTGCATGAGCACTGCTGAGAAGTCCCACAATAGGACGAAACGGCTGTCCAGTGCTTCCAGGTTTTCCATGATGGTCTAGCTTCAACTGAATCATGATCTTAACCATTGAAATTACTACAATCCCCACAAAACGCATCTGATATAAAATCGTTTTAGTTTGATAAAGTACTCTGTCGGTTGTGTGTATATGTGATCGTTTCTAGGAGTAAGATACCACATCTACATTATAACATTCAAGTGGTATGATCCATAGTTTTCACTATAAATCAATTTCTGCTTCAATCTGTGTTGAAGTTAATACCTTTATGATACGAAATGTATGTGAAATATTTGATATGATCTTTGATGATAGTTTATATACCATTAAATGAAGCTGTTCAAAAGATTGAAGTTTGTTTTAAGATTATACAGGAATATTCACAAAACAAGTTGGATTAACCGCTCTTTATTATGAATGGATTTAGGCTAACAGTAGAGTATAGGAAGTACATTTGTTCTAATTCGAAACTTATCATCACTTGTATGTATTTTACACGTCAGTATTAATAACGTCATTAAGACTCAAACACAGTCTGGGAACTCAGCAATGTGATCATTACATCCTTTATCAATCATGAACCATCTTACAGTAAGAAAATTATAGTCAACTTTTCTAAATTCCTTCACAAAATGATAATTGATCACTTCATAAGTTTTAAATATTATACGCATATCATTTAACCACCTAGTATTTGATTGAGTTCATGAATCGATTGATGTTAGACCATCTTTGAAAACCTGGGAGCACTGGATGGACGTTTCGTCCTCAGCAGTGCGCATCTGCGATCCCGCTCACAGGATTCGAGCCAAGGACCTTCAGTTTTGCGCGCGAACACAACCTCTAGACCATTGAGCCAGCATCCAACGATATTAATGTCTAACCCCAAACAATCCACGAAATCGTGCGACCATCTCCCAATGTACTGAGGTAGATACCTGTCTCTACCCGAAACGGATTAGCTCCACTGATCACGGCTTCTCACCAGAACTCCGAAAATTCCCTCGCTATTCTAGTCACTAGTGAGCATATGGCAGTTATCAGTATAGGGTTGTAGAGATTATTAAGTATTTGACTGAGGTTTCCAATGGTGGTCTAACATCACGATCTTAATCAAAACTTTATAATCTCCACAAATCTACACTGATATTTTTGTATGTTGTTTTTATTGATGTTTAGTTAAAAGTGCTTTTTTGCTTCATTCAACTACCAGATCACTGCTGATCCACTGCGAATAAGATTCAACGTTAATTTGCTGCAAATATCATGATACTGAATGTCTAAAAAATCGAACGAAACACGTTTCCTAGATTCCACAGGTAACTACTATCAAACATTGTTTATAATACTTATGACTGAGTTAACAACAATATCAGGACATTTCACACAAGATGTTCGTAAAATCCTAAATATCAAATGAGAAGATTCAAATAAACAAAACAATGATGTGATAGAATTGTTACCTTATCTTGTATAAATTTCAGTCAGTCAGCTACAAAGTAGGAACAGGCACTTACATGCATCGGTCCAAGTTGCCACACCTCATTAGAACAATAGGATGAACACCGGATTCATAGAAGTAGTTAATTCAGTGATCGTAATATATAAAAGAAGGATTGTGTATAAGGACACATTACAGGAAGAAAGAATTAGTTGGGAGAAAGAAAGATATGAAGCCGATTTTAATCTCATAGTTTAAGGGAAGACATAGAGTGTATACATCTACACCATTGTGATCGATTCTAAGCCATGTCATCGAGGGTCTCTAACCATTGGTTGCGATAGTCATGCAGACTCCAACCAAGTAGTCTTCATATACCAACATGGTTCACATCAGAAGTCAGTGACTCCAAGGTCTGTTGCCACGTTTTGATTTGGCCGCCCCTAACTATCTTCTACCCATCCCCAACACCAGTTAGCATTGTGCTTCGTGATAATCGGTGTTTGGGCATACGTAACACGTGGCCCAACCCTCTCAGTCGATGAAGATCTACATCATCAACTGATTTACCATCATTCCCTAATACCTTGCATCTAACCTCACTATTACTTACCCAGTGATCCCAGCAGATGTGAGCAATATTTCTAGGACATCTGTGGTCAAATACTAGTAACTTACGAGTATCTCCCACTCTTATTGACCATGTTTCACAACCTTAAAGTAGAACAGAACAAACTGTTGCGCAGTATACTCGTCCCTTAATTGATAGACGGATATCTCGTCTTCGCCATAGTTGACGCAAGTTGGTAAAAGCCAAATGAGCTTTTTGAATCTGTGCAGAGATTTCGTCAGACACCAACCCATTAGGGCTGATCAGACTTCTAAGATAAGTGAACTTGTCGATGCGTTCGACTACTTCACTCCCTATCCTTAGTTCAGGTGTTGATACAGACCAGTCCTGGAGCAACAACTTGCATTTAGAGGGAGATAAACGCATCCCAAACATCCTGGCATTGTTGTTCAGGGCTACCAAAAGACTCTGCATTTTATCATCGTCTTCACCAAATAAGACAATATTATCTGCGTATTCCAAGTCGATAAGTGGACCTCATGGTAAGAGATCAGTGCCCGAAAATTCAGTCGACAAGAACGTTATTTCTAGCAGAAGGTCTATGATGAAATTAAACAGAAATGGAGTTAGTGGACAGCCTTGATGCACATCATTTGAGGTTGCAAAATCAGATAACAGTTCACCATAAGATCTGACTCAACTAGTAGTGTTCGAGTAAAGAGCTTTCATAAAGTTTATGTACTTCTGAGGTATACCTTTCAATGACAGACACTGCCACAGAACCTCTCGGTCAACAGAGTCAAATGCTGTTTTTAAGTCAGGAAAAACTGTCATTGTCGGACGCTGATAATTATGTCTGTGTTCTAGAACCTGATGAATGGTGAATATGTGGTCGATGCAACCACGACCAGATCTGAAGCCAGCCTAATTTTCTCCTGTTTGTAGTTGACGAGTCTTAGTAAGGCGATCGATAATTATTGAGGCTAGTATTTTAGATGTTATATTACTCAAACTATATCATTTGTTTATTATTATTGGAGAATAAAAATAAATTACGTTAGAAATTATTTTGTTTGAGGCAACTTTTTCTACCTAATTTTATTGATTTATTTAGATAGAAAATTGATATTGATTAACTGTCGTTTTATAAAATGGAAATATATACACTTGAATTCTTATTTCTCAAACTCTAATCTATGCCATACAATATGTATATATCAATTGGTCAGCAACAACGTAGAACATCGTACGTACGTACGTACGTACGTACATCAGTTCAAGTTGTCATACCACATTAGTAAACAGATGACGATTGAAATCCCACAGTGGTAGAGGTAGTAAAAGTATAAGCAGTAATCGCAAAGAGAAGGCTTTGAAGATTGTTGTATTTCGATGAGAATAATGAATGGTAACTTTTAGGATCCATTTATTGACCATTACTATACGCATATTTTTATCGTATAATTGTCAAATAACTAAACTATTCATATTCATATTTCTCTTATTATGAGCTTTATTTTGACCTATGAACTATTATTATTATACCATCTACCGTTCTTGAATTATGCCCTGTCTATCAATCACTACCTCCCACATTCACAGCCACATTTGACTAATTCTTGTACAAATGTTGTTTGCTATTTTATGGTACGGTGTGGTTTGTCTGATTGCTATATAAACCCAGTATGTTTGAAATACATGGTTCATATTGCAGAGGCTGAGATTGGTGTTCTGGACTTAACAGGCAGGGCTGGGAGAGAAGCAGGACCGATGAAGGCTCTAGACTGCTCGTACTTGTTTTATGCGTGATTGGTCCAATTGATGAATCACTGCTCTCTAATTGGCGGACTCATTACGTTATATATTGATAGGGGCACAAACCCACAAGTAATAACAATTTCCAATTGTAGCATGCCACGTTGATATTCTAGAAAGCTCCGTCATGTTATGATTGGATGGAAACTCTTCGGATCTTTTAGGGCCTCTGGAGGCTCCGTTGTAGTTCTGAGAAGCCAACTCAAGAAAGATATTATATACATTGATATAAATCTAGTGTTTCGTAAATAACATTTCTGATCAATTAAATGTTTTGAGTAAAACATTTCTAATGTAAGATGAGACTTATCAGCAAGATATACTTGGAATATTCAGGTAATTGACACTCTACTGTATTCAAATCTACATCAGTCAGCTTCACAATCCGGGAAACGTTGAACTTCCTTTTTTATGAATGTAAAATGTTTCTTTGAAACACATATGTAGTGATCTTGTAATGATACACTTGTAATCTAATTTTAGGATTGCATAAGTATGTCTGTGTGTGTGAGTGAGAGAAAGAGAGATCATTATGTAATCATATAAGAAGAAATAAACATGAAACTTGAGTAAAACGAACAATGGAAGAGGTGTTCAATGGTAACAATAAGTCACCAGGGCAGTATTATGTAGATTAAAACTCTTTATAAAAAGAAAAGATAAGTCTGCAACATCAGTGCTATATCTAAACATTGTAGTATTTGCGTTAATTGATTATTGCAAGTCAATAATTTTATCCAACTGAAGTGAACTTAAGGAGACAACATATCTAAGGTAAACTCTAAGAGTAAGCTTTTGTTATTGAGATGTTGGAGAAGACTTGTAACTCAGGTAGATGATTTTGATGAAGTTCTGTTCTCTGAGTTCGATGGTTTGGTCGTGAAGCTTCCATCATTCTTCTGAATGACATCATTTGCACAAACTTCACATAGAACTGAAATACTCAAATTTCTCCATATGTGGTTCACGGCTTGTCCTGTACACCTCGATATTGATTGGTTCTTGTTGACCTCAATTCTGTCATTGTTTACTTCTTTGTTTTGGTTGTGTCACCTATCGGTTTGATTTTTGTTCCTATGTGTGTACATAATTTTCCTTATTGATAAATTGATGAATTGGATAGATTTCAATGTGCTTGTTGATTGTTGATTGATGTGGTTGCCAAGCTTCTAAAAATTCTCTGTTGTTTTTGGAATTTTCTCTATCGAAGATTTCCACATTTTCTAGTCGAATGTGTGTTCGTAGTTGTCCACGTGTATTGACATGAGTGAGTAGATGTCTTAATGTTTGACTGTTAATTGATGTTCATGAAGGTGAAGATGAAGAGGGTATCCGCTTTTGTTATGATATCGCATTAATAATTTAAAGATGAGAAGAAAGAATGGTATAGTACCTCTTCATAGTGAACTGTTCTAAGATCTTAGGTCCTCCTGTTTCAATGAATGTTTAAGAAAAACATAATTTTTAGCGATAGTGATTAGCTATGACATTTTTATCTTGTTTCATTTTCATCACTCAATTCTTTGTTCCTCAATTGAGGGACCATTACAAACTATTGGAAACTGTAAAGTTATTTCATTCCAGCTTTTCATACCCTTGACTCCACTAGAAATCAGTTCAAGAATCTTCTAATTTCTTTATAGACACAATTCATTGAATAATTCAGATGATAAATTTATCTTATTCATATCTCTTAACTAATTTCATTATTAACTAACTGTCTTATTTACAGTAATCATTCGAAATCTTTTAAGATCTACAAGCAGAGATGGATAATGGCTAACAGTGGAATCTAGGAAGCGTATTTCGTTCTATATGGGACTAGTTATACAGATGTACATACATCCCTGAAATGATGTTCGCTCTTGAACTCGAACCCTGTGCCGTTCGCTTCAAACATCATCGTAATATCCATTCAGCTACTGAGTACAGATGTACAATATCAGACTGATAAATTACAGTCCTAAATATCATTACAAAATAAATTTTAACATCTATGTTGGTGATACTATATTTTATGGACTATCTTTGAATGACACTAAACTGATTTTGTGAATGTCCATCTACTTACTAGGATTAAATAAGGTTTATAAACCAGTGTAAGGAATTCAAATTAGGATTTACAATTGATGGTTAAGGTAAGGAATTACATTTAGGGTTTTCATCATGAACTGAAATTATGTTGAGGACGTTAGATCCCCAGAACTCATTTGGAAAATGTTCGAATTTTATAGTTTTATTCTGAAAATTTGAATTTCATGTTTTCGTGCCGAGAGACGCTTAGTTGACCAACAGTTTACATTTCTCACTCGGAAATCCTTGACTGTCATTGGTTGACGGATTTTTTTAGTACGCTCTTTTGTGGCTCTCCCATGGGCGTTCGTATCATTGTATAAATAAGCTTGATTTGTGTATTTAGGGACCTCGTATTTTCGAGGTACTTGTATAAAACATTCTCTATGCCTCATCAAGACTTCTTGATCTAGTTAGCAGGGCCGGAGACAACAGATTAGAATAACCTATCGTGTCACTGTATCTTTGACCTTCGTTCCGTTCGCCGAGTAAGGTGAACTCGTAATAGCATTGAAGCATATCACATCAGCTAAAGCACTAAAATCCTATTTACCTTATTGACTGAACCCTAACCCACGGTGTGGGCAACTGATAAGTGATATCAGACCTCATACCCGTAACAGCACACGAGAGCAATTTAGTCACATCGTGAGGTTCTATGGCAGTGTTTGTCACTGAAAGGAGTACCAAAGAAGTACATTAACCTTGTAAAGGCTCTCTACTCGAATACAACTGGTCGAGTGAGAGCTTATGGCGAACTGTCATCAGAATTGATTACATCAAGTGGTGTTCGTCAGGGGTGTCAACTCTCTCTATTCTTCTGTAACTTGGTCGTTGACGTGCTTTTAGAGATGACACTCTCCTCATTTAAATTTACAGGGGTTGAGCTTGTACCGGGAGGTTCACTTGTAGACCTAGAATATGCAGATGACATAGTTTTATTTGGTGAGGACGCTGACAAAATGCAGAATCTTATGACCACTCTCAGCAACAATGCAAGCATGTTAGGTATACGATTCTCCACCTCGAAATGCAAAATGTTGCTTCAGGATTGGGTTGCATTGACACCCGAACTAATGATAGGGAGTGAAGTAATTGAGTGTGTCGACCGCTTCACTTATCTTGGAAGTCTCATCAGCCCTTATGGTCTGGTGTGTGACGAAATCTCAGCACGGATACAGAAGGCTCAACTAGCTTTTACCAACTTGCGTCATTTATGGCGTAGGCGAGATATCCGTCTATCAACCAAAGGACGTGTTTACTGCGCAGCAGTTCGTTCCAGCCTACTTTATGACAGTGAAACATGACCGGTAAGAGTAGAGGACATCCGTAGGTTACTAGTATTCGATCATAAGTGTCTTCGAAGCATTACTCGTCTATCCTGGGACTACCGAGTAAGTAATGCAGTTGTTAGGAAACGGGTTTTAGATAAGGATGGCAAATCAATCGATAAAGTAATGAAACTTCATCAGTTGAGATGGCTGGGACACGTGTTACGTATGCCCAACGACCGACTGCCTCGACGTGCGATGTTTTATGGTGTAGGAATAGGTTGGAAGAAAGCTAGGGGTGGCCAGACCAAAATATGACACAAATCCATGAAGTCACTGACAAATGGACTGAGTCATGTTGGTAGGTGTAGACTACTGTTATGGTTCGTTTATTGCTTGAATGCTATTACTGATGCGTCTTACTCGAACGGAACGAAGGATCAATGATTCAGGGACTCGATAGCTATTCTGCTTCGCTGTCCCCGGCTCTACTAACCCGATCAAGAAGTCTGGGTAAGGTGTAGAAAGTGTATTTTATAGACAAACAGCAGATAACAAGTCAGGTCAAGCACACAATCAAGCGTATTTATACAAATATTTACAATCGATATTGTCATGGACATTTTTTAAACATCAATCAATGAGTTCATTAACTGACCGCTACTTAACATTTAATCGATAGTTCATCAATTGACCTATTTGCACATCTAATCGATAGGTTCATCAACTGGCTGCCATTAAAACATTTAATCGATAAGTTGATCGATAAGATAAAATTTAAAAATATGAGTTTGGGGATCTATCGCCCCCAACAACTACCTGGTTTTGACCGCGAGATGATAGAAACCGATGGTTAGTGACCTTGAATGACATGGCTCAAAATCGTTTTACAATGGCGCAGGTGCATACACCATTTGTGTTCTCCCAAATTCTAATATTCTGAATTCTTCGTGCCCCTTCTTTTTTTCTCTTTCGAAATTTATTTCACTGGATTATACTCCTTGAATAACATCTTCAAACCCTAATGTTTCCGATTACTGCTTATACTCTTACCACCTCTACCACTATGGGATGTGAATCGACAACTACATCTCTGTGCTAATGTTGCATGGCAACTCGAACTGATGTATGTCCGTACGAAGTTTTACGTTGTTACTGACTGACTGACATTCAAATATGTAATAACATACCAGTTATAAATACAATAGTATTATAAACATTTATTCCAAAAAAAACTTACCGGGTATTTGTAGATCAGTATTACTACGAAATAATCTACCTTTAACTTGTTTATTATTATTCATTTGTTTATTTAATCCTATTATATCTAATGTCGAAGATGATGGATCTAATAATAATGATGAATCCATTTCATAAGATTGTATATAATCTTGTTTCAATTTATTCGGTTGGCCTAATTGTAATAACCGTCCATAAACTTTATTATTATTATTGATTAAAGAAGATGTTGATGATGTTGATTGATTAATTGAATCAATATCATTATGTAATTGATTTTTTATAGAATTCATTGTTGTTGTTGTTGTTGTTGTTGTTGCCATCATCATTGATGAATTATTGGATTGGATACAACTACGCTTACGTACATCTTCAATTTCTAATAAAATTTCCTCATGTCTTAATAATTGTAATGCACAACGTTTTTCTAATTCTTTAATTTTTGACTAAAAAAAAAACAACAACAAAAGAAAGAAAGAAAGTTGAGAAAAATAAAATTGATTAAGGATAAATTCTACGTTGCCATGTCAACTAAATGGATCATAATCAGTAATTACATTTACGGGATATCACCAGTAACAGCTTACTGTGAAAGAGAACAAATCAGCTTTCAGCTGAAAAGGAAATTAAGAAAAGACGATAGAAATGGATAGGACATATATTACAGAAATCACCAAACTGTATCGTAAAACAAGCCGTAACTTGAAATCTTGAAGGTGATATGTCTTGCTAATTGAACGCTATATTCGATTCCTAAGCTATTCTCGTAACCCCCAAGCTAGAACTACACAACGACTTGAACACGAGAGAAAAAGCGCAAAATATTAGAGAAGCACTTTACTCTAAAGGTTAGTTTTAGTACAGAAAATATTAGGGTATTTATAGCATTTTAGATGTCCTTGGGTTTCCCGAAGATTCCGGAATGCTACTAAACATAGTAGCAATATAGTAATCAGCCAATCAGAAACTTTACATGTGACTTTTCACTTTCTTGATGTTTCTGGCTAAACGTCTAGTGGACGCTGATTGCATAAAATGCTTCTTAGTGTTTTCTGAGTCTTTCTTGGCTTTTGCGAGAAGTTTAATGGATCACCCCAACAGAAGGGAAGTAGAAAAGAGGAAGGCTAAGGAACACATTACGTCGGGAAAAAGGAGATATGAAAAGGATGAATAACAACTGGAAAGAGTTAGAAAGGATTGCTCAGTACGGAGTTGGATGGAGAATGCCAGTGAGCGGCCTATACTCCTCCACGAGGAGTAACAGGCGTAATTAAGTAAGTAAGTATAAATAATGATGATTATAATTCAGTTATTCAAACAATCAAAATCATAATTCGATGTCATATTCTTTTAACTAATTCATTAAACTACGAAGAAGACAAAACAAAATTAATGAATTCATTTGATATTGTCTAGTTTAATCTTCCCATTGATTTTTAGGGTTACAGTTGATCAGTCGCTTATTGGCATATGTACATCCTGTGAGGATTGCCTCGATATAGCCTTAATTCACAAGCATTCTAAGCAAATATGGATAGTGGCTAGAAGTGGAATCCAGGACGAGCGTTTCGTTCTATTTGGAACTCGTCAACTGGATGTACCTGTATCTCAGAGTTGTTGTTCAGTTCGTGACTCGAACCCCGTATTGTTCGCTTCAAACAACATCGCGTTATCCCTTTTAGCTTAAAAATTATTATTATTAGCTTTATTCAATATTATATTTGTCTATTCATTCTATGCAGTATGGTCATGAGAACTAGATAGATGCAGACTACTTAGTTGGGGTCCGCGTGACTATTGTAACCAATAGTTGGAGACTCTGGGTGACATGGCTCGATCACAATGGCGTAGGTGTATACACTGTCTGTCTTCCCTAAAACTATAAGATAAAAATTGCTTCATATCTTTCTTTCTACGAACTAGTTCTTTCTTCCTGTACTATATCCTTATATGCAAGTAAAGAGAGTAGAAATATGATTTTATTTTAGTATACTCTACAATCATAGAATTACAAAGAATTATGTAATTATGATGATTGATGGACATTGGTACATTATGAATATTGTTGTGTTTGTGAAAATATCATCAACCTGGAAAAAAACACTAAACTCTTGCTCTGTTCTAATTCAACGTGTTAGCTCTGTTCTTTGAGAGGCCTTACCACCGGAGACGGAGATTAGTGTGACATTTTCAGGGTCGACCTTTTCTAACCCCTTCCTTATGAGAAGGTAGCATCACTGCAGATGCTGGTTGTCGGAGAGAAACATCTTACTGCTGTCACATCCATTTACAGTCAACAGTACGACTTCGCCCTCAGACGTTGGATTGCTGCTTTTAGTCCTGCCGTTCTCCAGTCGACCTGCCTGGCATGGTAAGACCTTGAGGAATGGTTGTTCTAGTCAGTAGAACTCGATTGGTTCATCACGATAGGCAAGCTTGGCCACCACGTCAAGGTAGCAGCTACGGTCGGGTATGGCAACTCGAACTAATGTACGAACGTACGATGTTCTAAGTTGTGACTGACTGACTGACTGACTAACTGACTTTGTTCTAATTTGAAGCATATAACATAAGTCGAACGTAAAAATGTTTATTCAGGAATAAAATAAGTATCATCATCAATGGAATATGTTTTCAGGGTGGAAATTATTATTAGTACCCTCGGTGGGATTATAATTTATGGACAACCTTTAAACGAACAGGTATCCCGAATATTCAAGCAAACCGCTGAGGTTTTTCGTTTATCTAGTTACTTGATTGTAGATATTTTGAAATAGTTTCTATGATAAAATTAATTGAAGGTGTTACTTTTGTAATGTTGTAATTTTTCTTTCATCATTACTGACTACGTTACATTTGATACGTTTGTTGCATGATGAAATGATATTTTCGTTATAGGAAAGATTAGATTTTTCATGTAAGCCGACAAAAATGACAGAGAGTGAAAGAGGTCATTCTCCCATATACTCTGGTATGGTCGAGAATGGGGAGAGTCAACTCTCCCTCTACAAACGCTCTCACTCATGCTCTCTCTCTCTCTACATGTATATACCCACTACCATAGAAGTCCTACTCACTGCCTTCTTGTGGCAAGGATGTAGTTTACGAAATTGAGAGGACGAAAAGCGAATGTCCGGCACTTTAACCAGATTGGTGAACACAGAGGATCAACATAAGGGAGTTGGAAAACCATGATTCCAAACCGTTGGTGCACGTGGGCTCCAGGACCTTGAAGGAACAAATGGTGTATGGATCAATCGTTGGTCACCGGCTACCATATCTCTAACAGTTAAAAATATTAGGAACTTGGTCACACCACAAAGAATTTCACAATGAAACTTTAAGATTATAAATATGATCATATCTGTCTATTGCTCACTAGTTTCCAATAGTTTTCCAATTTGTATTAGTTTGGAGAGGTGAGGGAAATAATTATATCATTGAAACACATTATGAACTACCTTAGTTCTAACACTATCTAATATGAATAGACGACCTTAAGCACCTAGTAAGTAACAAGGATGAGAAGACTGATTATCTATGCTTGACAGTTTTCCAAATACTAAGTAGCCTTGAACAAAGAGCGAGAACATAAGACCAGTGATCACCAGTTCAAGATCGTTATGTTATTTCAGACATTCATTTTTATGCATAAAAGACCAGATTATATGACATCATGAAATAAAAAATAACAATTATACATAATCAAGCCAAAAAGTAACTGTAAGTAAAGAAGACTGAATAGTGAAACCGTCAACAGATTCAGAATAGTAAATCATACAACAGTAATTAATGAGCTAATAGAAAGCTTATGGTAAAAGGAACGAATATATAATGATTTTAATGGTTGAGATCAAGAGTTAATTGAAGCTAGACCACTATGGAAAACCTGGAAGCACTGAAGTTCAACCAGGTCTGTTGTAAGGTAGCAAATCACTGAAAACAATGATGGATGTGTTGAAGTTAGACAATAACACCGTTGGATGCCGATCGGCTCAGTGGTCTAGAGGTTAAGCATCCGCGTTCGAGACCGATAGGTCCTGGGTTCGAATCCCGTGAGGTGGTATCGTGGATACGCACTAATGAAGAGTCCCACAATAGGACGAGACGGCCGTCAAGTGCTTCCGGGTTTTCCGTGGTGATCTACCTTCAATCAACTTATGATCTCAACTATTGAAATGTTAAATTTACTTTTCCTTGTTATCTCAGTCTACATCATCTCACTCATAAAATACAACATTAAGACCTTTCTTACATAAAAGAAGTAACATGTTAAACTTACACGAATTTGTTTTACAGTTTCTTTAGACTTAGAATCTTCAGTCTCCTAAAATTAAAAGTAAAATTAATCAAAAATAATCTATTCATATTATACAGAACTATTTTAATTTAAACATAGAAACTGTAAGATTATGTAATAGGGATATTGTGTAACAATGAAGACATTTTCTAATCTTTTTATCTTTAAATGAATATTATCTGGTTAGCGTTTTTTTTAGCGAGTTGGTTTTCTACGGGATGAGGTCGCTAAACCCATGCTCAACCCTCCTTCTTTATTCGGGCTGGAACCGGCAGCTAGGAATCAAAACAACTGTCTGTCAACCAACACCAAGGTCAGAAGTTTCAATACAAATCTCAAGACAATTCTACTGTATGGGGCGGAAACTTGGAGAACTACAAAAGCCATCATCCAGAAAATACAAGTATTTACTAACACTTGTCTATGCAAAATACTTTGGATCCGTTGACCAGACACTAACAGCAACAACCTACTATGGGAGAGAACAAGTCAGATCCCAGTGAGGGAAGAAATCAGGAAGAAGCGTTGGAAGTGGGTAGGACACACATTGAGGAATGCACCCAACTGAGTCACAAGGCAATCCTTCAACACCTGAGACCCTGAAGGCCAAAGGAGAAGAGGAAGACCAAAGAACACATTACGTCGAGAAATGGAGACAGGCATTAGAAGAATGATTAAAAATTGGATAGAACTGGAGAGGAATGCCCATGACAGAGTAGGTTTGAGAATGCTGGTCGTTGACCTATTCTCCATTGGGAGTAATAGGCGTAAGTAAGTAAGTAAGTAAGTGTTGAAGTAAGTAAGTAAGTGTTGAAGTAAGTAAGCAAGTAAGTGTTGAAGTAAGTAAGTAAGTAAGTAAGTGTTGAAGTAAGTAAGTAAGTTAGTAAGTAAGTAAGTAAGTAAGTAAGTAGGTAAGTAAGTAAGTAAGTGTTGAAGTAAGTAAGTAAGTAAGTAAATGTTGAAGTAAGTAAGTAAGTAATTAAGTGAGTAAGAATATCATCTATGCGAAATAATTTTCCATTTTGTATTTTTATTACTTGTATTCATGATTCGATTAAAGCTAGACCACAATAGAAAACTTGGAAGTACTGGACAGCCGTTTCGTCTTATTATGGGACTCCTCAGCAGTGCACATTCACGATCTGGACCACAGGATTCGAACCCAGAAACTATTGGTCTCGTGCGCAAATGTTTAGCTTCTTGACTAATGAGCTGGATAGCATCCAGTAGTGTTATTGTTCAACCTTGTGGATACGTACTACTGAGGAGTTTCATACTAGGATGAAACGGCTGTCCAGTTCTTCCAGGTTTTCAATCATGATCTAGCTTTAATTGACTCATGAATTCAACTAACTTATTATTGAAATGCTTGCAGTATTTACTCTGATACAAAGTATAAACTAAATATTAAAAGATTATCTAGGGGCGAGACCATAATTTATGGATGAACCAATCAGCTATCAGAAAGCAGGTCTCGGATTTTGGCGCTAAATTTACTCATCCATTTGGCTAAATAGAGTTTTTGCACTTTAACTGATGTCAGTTCGTGATGGAAACCCTAAAGCTAATTCGTAACCTTAACCATCAACTGTAAATCATAATTTGAATTCCTCACACAGGTTTATACCCCTTATTTGGTCTTAGTTATTAGGTGAACACTCTTTAATGTCGCTCAAATGTCGTCCATAAATGATAGTCTCACTGATGATTAAATTTGATGAACGTTCACTATCTTTCTGGACAACTTCGTTAGCTCTACTATAAATAAAAGTAAAGTTTCTGAGAGATAAAAGAACTAAATTAGTCCTTCCTGTTAACCTTACTTATTGTTTATTGTATCCAGGGTTTTTTTTAATATTTATATGTCCTTACATTCTCATTAGCTATTCACTTCATTTGACCTCTGATCATATGATGACTTAACATTATTGAATGTTAATATGTTAATTGAGAGGATTTTGATCATTCATGAAATTATCGAAACGGAATGACTTAGCATTTATTTAATGCATTAAAATGCATTCACTTTCCCCTGGACCTGATACCTACGATTATGGTGGGGATTACAATCAAAGCTGCAATAATAATTACTAGTATAGGGGTTGTGGAGATTATTAAGTTTTTGATTGAGATCATGAACCGAGATTAAATCATTCAGCTTAGAAAATGTGACTCTAAAGAGAAGCATCCAATTAACTTAGCAATCCTTCTTATTACTTCATTAAATAAATTGAAATTTTTGTTGATAACTGACTTACATGTAGTTGACAATTGCTTGATTGTGTTTGTCCAACACCACCACCACCGGTACTACTACCACCACCATCAACATCAACATCATCATAATCATCGTCATCACCAACAATAAGATCTACATCATTTACAGATCTTTGTAATAATTTGTCAAGTTGAGATTTTAATGTAGCACGTTCAAGAAGTAATTTTTGTCTCAACTGTACAACATCATGCAATTTCTAAATACAATATTCAAGAAGATAAAACATCAAGTAGTTTAATTTTATAATCCAAGCAATTTATAGTAATTTTGCTAGTTAAGATCATGAATTCATTGGAGTTAGATCATTATGAAAAACTTGGAAGCATTGGATAGCCGTTTCGTTCTATTGTTGGACTCCTCAACAGTGTACATCCATGATCCCAACCCGAAAGATTCGAACCCAACACGAAACGGCTGTCTTGTACATCCAAGTTTTCCATAGTGATCTAGCTTCAATTGACTCATAAACTCAACTATTAAAATCGTATTCACAGTTTAATTTGCAGAATTTCATATAATGAATATAAAGAAATCATATCATTGAGGATTAGGTTTACTGTCTAAGAAAGAAATGAAGTAAGGAAAGAAAGGACAAATCAAAAACCAAACCGTGAAATTAAGGCGAAGATAAACAATAGATCGGTTTTGAATCAATGTCATCCAAAGTCTTTGATAATAAAATAAAACAATTTTAAAGATCATTGTGAAGAACCATGGAATTTCATTCATAACTGATGTAGACATTCAATGACTCCATCATCAACATATAATTCCGAGCTTTATCATTTGAAAACATAATATATTTAGATAGTTTAAAACAATCCAGTTTACAGAATGTATTCGATAATAAACCTCTTAGAATTATATTTCTATAACATCTTAGTAGTATGGAGATTTATAGGTTCACTGGATACTTTCGATGTTTTCAAGATTTTAAGCGAAACTGGTACGTGCAAAGGTGGATAGTGGCTAGCAGTAGAATTCAGGACGCGCGTGTCGTCCGTCTCCGGAATCGTCAGCTGAATGCGCCTGAATCTCAGAGTTGATATTCACTCCGAGACTCGAACCCAGTACCGTTCGCTTCAAACGCCATCACGATATCCACTTAGCTACTGGGTCCTGATAGCCACCTGCTTGTACAGTGGTGTGAAGTTTAAATTCACTTGATGTTGTTGTACTTGTATCTTCCCATTGTTATTTAGGACTAAAACTGATCAGTCTCATGTTGGCATATGTATATCCTGTACGGACCACCTTGATATAGCCTTAAGTCACAAGCTTTTTAAGCAAAGATGGATAGTGGCTAGCATGTCTACATAAGATACTCAATGTCTGTTGACCGGATATCATCAGCAACACTCTACTGTGAGAAAGAAAAAACCAGCTTCAAACTGAAGAGGAAATTAGGAAAAGACGTTGAAGGTGGATAGGAAATACATTACTGAAACCCTACAATTGCATCATGAGGAAAGTGCTAACTTGGAATCCTGAAGGGAAACAGAAAAGAGGAAGACCAAACAACACACTGTATCGGGGATTGGAAGAAGACATCAAATGAATGAATAATAACTGGAAAGAATTGCGCAGGACAGAGTTGGATGAAGAATACTGGTGGGCGGCCTACGCTCCTGAATGAGGGGTAATAGGCGTAAGTAAGTAAGTAATTTTTTCTAATGATTATCATTTCCACATTTTTCAATGTGTTTTTCTTTCATATCATCTAAGTAGACAGTTATCTCTCATACTTCTGATACATAAATTATTTTCACTCCACTATTCTACTCTAATTGTGGTGTGTGCTACTAATGTCAACAGATATATGTAGTATGTAACATCAGTCGACATTGAAATTCCTGGTGGTAGAATGTTAAGAGGATCAAAGAAAAGAAAATGATAACAGTGAATGAGTGCTGTAGAAATAAAAGAACAATGAAGTCTGAGATAATTGATTGACATTTTACAAACGAAGTATTTACTGTATGGTTCTCAAATTTTACTAAGATGTTCTGTAATTCTGTATTCAAAAACATTTTGGTTGTTCCCACTTGTCTGTTTTCGTTCAATACAATACTAATATTTTCAGAAGGGGTTTGTGGAGATTTTAGAAATTTCACAGATTGAAATCATGAGTTAATTGAAGTTAGACCGCCATGGAAAACCTAGAAGCACTGAACGGCCGTTTCGTCCTAGTATGGGAGAGAGATCAGCTCACTGAAGACAATGGTATACGGTGGCGCAACTTCGTGGATTGGTTTAAGTTAGACATTAACACCATTGGATGCCGGCTCAGTGGTCTAGTGCTTAAGAGTTCGCGCACGAGACTGGTCGGTCCTGGGTTCGAATCTCGCGGGGTGCGGGATCGTGGATGTGCACTGCTGAGGAGTCGCATACTAGGCCGAAACGGTCTTCCAGTGCTTCCAGGTTTTTCATGGTGGTCTAGCTTCAATCGACTCATGATTTCAATCTGTGAAATACTAATATTTCTTAGTTATTGTACAAATTATTCCATTAATAATATTTAAAATCACCAAAAAATGAAGTTAAAACATTACGTAATCATATGAGATAAAATTACTTGTAGAGTTTTTTCCATTTGGCATTCATAGGATATATTTTCAGGATTCCTCTGATCGACCATATTTGATAGGTTGCTCAAAGAACGTTCAATTTTCAATGGATTAGCATATTTCTAAAGTAAAGTAAAGTATATGTTGGATAAAATAAATATTTATGATATGTAATAAGTTTTTTTTTTTGGATAGAAGATTAAAATGGATAGGAGAACATTATGAAAACTTCTACAACACTATGGTGTACATCATAAGGAAATCAAACGATGGACTACAATGCAAAACCGTGTATAAAGGACAGCCAACAGACCCATTCTAATTAAGAACTGGAGTCGGACAAGACTGCCTACTCTCCCACTTACTCTTTATTCTTGTGGTTGGCGGGATTATGTAGACCTCCGTGCCTCAGCAGGAGCACGGAGTACAATGGATAGCATGGATACCACTAAACGAGTTGGACTTTGCAGATGAACTAGCTCTTTTATCCTATACACATCAACAAATGATGGTCAAGACAATTAGTGTAGCAACGGCCTCTTCATCAGTAGGCCTCAACATACACAAGGGAAAAGCAAGACCCTCAAATACAACACGGAAAACGCCGATCTAATCACACTTGATGGAGAAACTCTCGAAGAGGTGGGATCTTTCAAGTACCTGGTCAGCATTATCAATGAACAAGGAGGATCTGATGCAGATGTGAAGGAGAGGATTGGCAAAGTAATGGCAGCATTTGTACAGTTGAAAAACATATGGAACTCAAAACAACTGTCAACCAATATCAAAGTCACAATCTTCAGTGTGAATGTCAAGACAGTTCCACTGTACGGAGCCGAAACTCCGACAACTATCACAACCATCATCAAAAAACAACAAGTATTTGTAAACAATTGCCTACGCAAAATGCTCAATGCACGTTGACTGGATACCATCAGTAACAACAGCCTACTGTGGGAGAGAACAAACAAGATTCCAACTGAAGAACAGAATATGGAAAAATGCTGCAGGTGGATAGGATGTACATTTCTGAAATAATCAAACTGCATCACGAGACAAGCACCCACTTTGAACTCTGAAGGGAAAAGGAAGTGAGGTAGACGAAGGGACACATTGGATTAGGAATTGGAAGCAGATATCAAAGGAATGAATAGCAACTAGAAACAAGTGGAATGGATTGTTTAAGACGGAGTTGATTAGAGAGTGCTAGTGAATAGCCTATGCTCCTTCATGAGGGGTAACAGGTGTACATAAGGTCATAATATTATTGACTTTAAAAGATAGCCTAAATTTCGGTCAAGTTAATAATCAAAAATCAGATAAGATTATGAAAATTATCTTTAAATATTGCTTAAAGAACTGAAGAATTACGTTTAAGGTAACTATCTGTCAACAAACTAATTGTACCATTTGACATTCTTGTTTTAAATCAACTATAAATGACTACTTAAGAATGTTATATCATTGTCTTTAAGAAAAAACTTACTATTCAATAAGATATAAACTAATAGAAAACTCAAACTAATACATTAGAGTTCTTTATACATTTACTGAAATCGACATGGAACCACTCTGAGACAAATATATCTCTATAGAATCATCATTCAAAACCCAAATCGCTATTAGCTAAAAGCGGAAGCATTCGAAACATCAATCATGTAGGAAATCATTTTTGAAATTCATTTGTAATTTGATCAGTATCAACCATTGCAAATATGTTAAAAAACTTCGTTAATACGAGAAACTTGTAAGAAAAATTCATTCGCGAATCTTCAAAGAAATGAATGTATTTAACAACAAGAAAAATAGATAGATAGATAGATAGAAAGATAGATAGATAGATAGATAGATAGATAGATAGATAGATAGATGTGTGGATAGATAGATAGATAGATAGATAGATGTGTGGATAGATAGATAGATAGATAGATAGATAGATAGATAGATAGATAGATAGATAGATAGATAGATAGATAGGTAGATAGATAGATAGATCGATAGATAGATAGATAGATAGATAGATAGATAGATAGATAGATAGATAGATAGATAGATAGATAGATAGATAGATAGATAGATAGATGTGTGGATAGATAGATAGATAGATAGATAGATAGATAGATAGATAGATAGATAGATAGATAGATAGATAGATAGATAGATAGATAGATAGATAGATAGATAGATAGATAGATAGATAGATAGATAGATAGATAGATAGATGTGTGGATAGATAGATAAATAGATAGGTAGATATATAGATAGATAGATAGATAGATAGATGTGTGGATAGATAGATAGATAGATAGATAGATAGATAGATAGATAGATAGATAGATAGATAGATAGATAGATAGATAGATAGATAGATAGATAGATAGATAGATAGATAGATAGATAGATAGATAGATAGATAGATAGATGTGTGGATAGATAGATAAATAGATAGGTAGATATATAGATAGATAGATAGATAGATAGATCGATAGATAGATAGATAGATAGATAGATAGATAGATAGATAGATAGATAGATAGATAGATAGATAGATAGATAGATAGATAGATAGATAGATAGATAGATGTGTGGATAGATAGATAGATAGATAGATAGATAGATAGATAGATAGATAGATAGATAGATAGATAGATAGATAGATAGATAGATAGATAGATAGATAGATAGATAGATAGATAGATAGATAGATAGATAGATAGATAGATAGATAGATAGATAGATAGATAGATAGATAGATAGATAGATAGATAGATAGATAGATAGATAGATAGATAGATAGATAGATAGATAGATAGATAGATAGATAGATAGATAGATAGATAGATAGATAGATAGATAGATAGATAGATAGATGTGTGGATAGATAGATAGATAGATAGATAGATAGATAGATAGATAGATAGATAGATAGATAGATAGATAGATAGATAGATAGATAGATAGATAGATAGATAGATAGATAGATAGATAGATAGATAGATAGATAGATAGATAGATAGATAGATAGATAGATAGATAGATAGATAGATAGATAGATAGATAGATAGATAGATAGATAGATAGATAGATAGATAGATAGATAGATAGATAGATAGATAGATAGATAGATAGATAGATAGATAGATAGATAGATAGATAGATAGATAGATAGATAGATAGATAGATAGATAGATAGATAGATAGATAGATAAACAGGCAGACATAACAATGTCAAATGCCTCAAAAATTAATGTATATTTTTACCATGTTTTACAACAATACAAACAGGAGAATCAACATAGTAATAGGACATAGAATAGGCAATATGGCTGAAAGAATAATCAATAAAAGGCAATACATCTATTCTCATTTCAATAATACAATAATGTAATATCATTGGTTTTCTCATATATCTTATTGTCTTATAATGAATAGGTATAATATTTCACTACATTTATTTTAATACATCATTCTTTATGTCCATTGAATCATGTTAATCAATATGAAACAGTAAACTATTGAGTATTCTGTTTCCCCAAATATGTATCTGATTGAGATTTCATATAGTCAATAATAATAACAGACATTACTCCAATAAATATATATTTAAAACCAGCTTACAGATGAGTTCGAATCCCGTGCCTTATGAGTGTTAAACAATTCATTTATAATTTTATAACATAATAATTGGTATTATCATTACAACTGAATTACATCTATTAGATTTATTTACAATAGAGATAGTGATAAATATGAAGAGCCTTACAATGGGACGAAACAGCCTTAAGACGGTGCTTCCAGGTTTTCCACGATGGTTTATATTCAATGGACTCATAATCTCAACTATTGAAGTTACTACAATATGCACAAAAAACCCCTTCTGATATAAATATAAGTCTCTACATGAAGGTTAAAGAAATATTCTCAAAATAGAAAGTGTGACACGTTTTGCCATTGTATTTTAATCGAGAAAAAGAAATATCAAAATGTAACACATCACTGACATGATTATCAGAACGAATGTAAATCACATGAATACAACAAAAGTTTGGCATTGATAAAGTTCATGTATCTCACAGACTGAAATCATGAGTCAGTTGAAGCTAGATTACCATGGAAAACCTGGAAGCACTGGATGGCCATTTCGTCCTAGTATGGGACTCCTCAGCAGTGCGCATCCATTGTGGTCGAGCTCCAATTGACTTATGATTTCAACTATTGATATTTCTAAAATCTCCACAAACCCCCTTCTGATAAAGTTCAGGTACATAAAATAGAACATTGTCGAACTTGTGATCTTTTTACTACTGATATCAACAGATATAAGTAGTATATATCATCAGTGGAAAGTGAAATGTCTGGTAGCAGAAGGTTAAGAAAATTGAAAAAAAAGAGAACGAGAACAATGAATGATTGATGTGGAAACAAGGGAACAATAAAGTCTGAGACAATTGATTGACATTTTGCAACTTACTTTATGTTTCTTGGAATTTAGTAAGAAATTATGTAATTTTATGTTCAGTTACGTTTGGTTGTCTTCGGCTGTGTTCTTGTTCACTACAATCTCTGTTAGTTTGAATATTTAATTTATTGATTTTGTAAAGTCACATAACATATTGGACTATTGATTACTTAATATTGGTATCAGAAGGGGTTTTGTGGAGATTGTAGTAATTTCAATAGTTGACATCATGAGTCGATTGAAGCTAGACCACAATAGATAACCTGGAAGCACTGTACGGCTGTTTCGTCCTATTGTGGGACTCCCTAGCAGTACGCATCCACGACCCCGCCTCAACTATTGAAATTACTTAATATTGACTTTTTCCGACTCAATATATTTACCTGTCGAATGGATACTTTATTTTATCGGTATAGATTTGTGGAGATTGTTGAGTTTAAATTGACATCATGAATGAAAGCCATGGCTAGTGAAGTTCATTCGTGTCTGTCGTAAAGCACTTACTCACTGAAGACGATGGCGGAAGGTCGCTTAATATTGTGGATTGGTTGGAGGTATACATTAACACCATTGGATGCCACCTTAATGGCCTAGAGGTTAAGCGCTCGCTCT